CGCAATACCTTCTCCTCCATTGTCCTCTCAGGACATTGGGCACACACACACATGTGCCCAGCATGAGTTTAAGCCACCGGGTCTGGGACTTGAACCTCAAACCGGGGTCGACTACATGGGAGTTCGGCGACATAGCCATTATGCTAACTGCTGGTCCCTATCTTGTGAATATTTGTAATGACAGAGGTAGAACACTCCAATAATGCTATGTAATATTGAATTTTAAGTAACACAAGTATTTAGGAATGTGCTTTCTTTTTCTTAACAGAAGGTATAAATGAAATACTTCTGGACCAGCTCGTGGCATGGTGATTTAAGTTGTGAGATCCACATTGTCAACTAAGCAGTTTGAGTCCCAGAGCTGACTGCTTGCAAAACAGACCTGGCATGTGTGCATGCATGCCCAAAATCCAGAAAGGAAGGTGGGGGGCAGGTAGAGAAATGAAGAAGGGATTGCAACATGACTGTTCTCCATGGTGGAGGGTGCTTTCTCACTTTCTCTCTCTTACTCCCTCTCTCTCTCTGGGAAGTGCATACATCCTCTGGGAAAATGTGGAAAAACTTAATAAAATACGTACTTTAAAGTTCTATAGTTAGAGAACTATGCGGTACAAGGACTTGGATGATTTCTAGATAGAACTTTTTCTCTCAATTTATGTAGCTCAAAAGGATGACTACTGGCTAATTGTTTACATGACTGGATGCAAGATGACAAAATATCAACCTTCATCCTGAAGACTCAATGTAATTCATTTCCCAATCCTAATTTCAGAGTATTCTATCACACCCTCTTGTTGTCCTCCTTTATGGAAATGATTTACAAGTGACAACAGTAATGGATTTTTATTCTGAGTTTACTCTGTGCTTAGCTCTATGCTTCATGTTCTATATACTATGTCTCATTTAATCTTCACAACAACTGGGTGAGCTAAATCTTCCCATTATCCAAATTTTACAGATGAGAGAACTGAGATTTTATTTAATGTCTTTGCCCAAATGTGCTCAGTTGGTAAAATTAAATCCAAGCTTCAAAGTAGGTCAGACTTCTGAATATTAGAATGTGTACTCTGAACTCCCCCGTCACCAAGACTTTAGCACCAATACCACCAGTATGTAACTAAATCCTTTTTACAATTTTCTCGCCCAACCTCAACACCCTGTTCTATTGCCCCCAACTGGCTGGTTCCACAATCTGGCCCTGACCAATGACCAATACTCATGATCCTAATTTCCTCTCATGTGCTCACCAACTCTGTAGATCTTATCCCTATCTCTAAAATTTCTATCTTATCTCGTAAATTTCTTCCTTCTACTGCTGTGACTCTCCTATTGGTTGTCCTATAAGTATATCAAACTTCCATGTAACAGCCAGAGATATTTGTTTAAATAATTTAATTTTATTCATTTTTATTGTTGTCAAGTAATTTCATGCATGAGTTAAGATGGCTCATAAGAGAAAATAGCCCAGTATCTTGGAAAGTGGCTGCAGAGGCTACAGCATAACACAAATATTTTCACCTGAAACTTGGAGGCTAGTTATGTCTCTTTCAAACATGCTCCTATCCAGCTTCCTGTCCCTTCCCTTCTTCATCCCTATATGTTTCATTTTCACCTTCAGAGAGTATCTAATCCTTACACCATGTCCATTATATTCCTTCTCATTCCTGAGCTCATTTTTTACCAAGTTCTTCCTCTGCTCTTCATCCCTGTGCCTACTATTTACAAGAACATGCTTCCCACTCTTCCTTGTCCCAGTATTCCTGACATTCCTGGGCATAACTTAATCTCCTCATTCCTAGAATCCTCCCATTCCTATTCTAAGACTCAAAAGAGGAGAAAAGTAAATACTCTTACATTTTCAGTGTCCTTTTGTTACGTCTCTCATTTCCAAATCAACTCTTCCCCTTTAAGATCTACATTTATTTATTTATTTATTTATTTATTCACTCACTTATTTTTAGAATTATTTTATTTAACTTTATTTATTTAGAGGGAGAGAGAGAGAGAGAAAGAGGGAGAGAAAGAGAGTGGGAAAGTGAG